CTCGGTCTGCAGTTCCATGTAAATTGGTGGATTACAACCAGGGAACTGTCTACTGAGCTGAATGTCAGCTTCAGTTCATTGGAAACAGTGGTGGCAATGTTGGAACATCACTAGGTTTGTGCCAAGTTGGTCCCACAAGTGCTCACATAGGAAAGAACTGAGTCTGCAGATTTGTCAGGACCTCAATCTGAGGGTGAAGGCAAAAGTTTCCTAGGTTGCGTGATTAGTAGTGACAAGTGGTGACATGGTGTCACCACTATGAGCCAGAGTCAAAATGGTTGTTCACGGAGTGGCAATATCTGACTTTCCCACTGAAGAAAAAGGGGTTCAAAGCATTGTAACACCTCCTTTCACCATCACTTGGGCCAGTACGTCCAGACAGCAAGCTGAGGTTCTGATCAGAGCTGCATGGCCAAGCTGAGAGGCAATACAGCTTGGACAGGGTCCAGGCAGAGGGTTTAAGCTTACAGATAATTGCTGAGAAAAGGGAGAAAGGCTGTTAATAAGCTTCTTGGATATCTCACAGCTTTTTGTACCAATCTGAGATGGGTCACAGCTGCTCCAAGTTAGAGTTGGCTTTGGGTGCTGGCAGTAAAAGGGGAGCAGAATCCCCTGACAACCAGCAAGTATTCTCCCATGAGATCAGCTATGCCAGTATCATAAGGGTTCAATATAACATTTGTTCCCAAAACCATATTTCTTGCTTGTGTATGAAGTCCTGTAAAGGTTCTATTGCCTCTGCAAACCCTATTCTGACTTAAAAGGTGCAGTTGCACTCTTTTTCCCTCTCCGTGTTTACCGTGAATTGTTAACCAGAGTATTGCCTTTGTTTTTTGTGGTTCACTCATTCCATGTCATCCCGAGTTTCATGGATGAATGCTTTTATCTGTTGAGAGACCGTTTATAAATAAGTAGGGATTAGAAGTTCAGGATTATTTGCTCTTACTGTTAGACATAACCTTGTTTTGGCAGTGTTGTTTTGATATTCTTTTTTAAGTGGTGAGGACATAGAAAGCATTCTGCTTATGTGCACACCTGTACGTGCCCTAGGCATGCATGGGATAAGTTAGCCTGTGGATATGCCCTCCTGCTTTTGGTCTTATGAGCAGAATTTCAAGTGTTGGGTTGAGCATTAAAAAACCTGAGTTATACCTGACTGAGGAGCCTCTCATCTCGGGGAGCAGAAATTCCAAGAAGGAAAAGATGTGAAGGAATAAATCTTACTCTAAAGTTCTAATTGTGCATATTTCACGAGGTTCCAGGCTCTTCTAACTTGCTTGTCAAAGGCAAGTTTGGGGTGATTTAGGATAAAAGAGCCATTATTAGTAATTGGTTGGATTTACCATCTGTCAAATTTCCACTTATTGACTCCTTCTGTAAGTTATTGAACTTATAATTGGTCAGCCTTGGAGTATATTTGGTACTTAATTTAAAAAAATATTTTTGAGGAAAACGTATTTTTTGAAACTGCTTCCAGTGACTTCAGTATTAAAATCAGTCTTTGGTTCTTCTCTATTAATTCATATGTGCTCAGCACCTTTTCACAACCACAAATAGGTGCTAGTTCACCCCAGATCATGAGGCCATATTTTATCAGAACAATTTTCAGTAGCTAACTTAATGCCAGCCCCAGATTTTGGAGAGAATGTTCATAAACAAACCACTCTTAACTTCTCTGAAGCAGTTTGTAAATTATGTCCTGGGTTCATGAGGTTGTTTAAAGGCAGTCCTTGCACGTAATTTCCTAATGCTCTGAGGGACATTGAAACAAATGTGAGTTAAGTGCTGGCTCAGAGTTCTGGATCTGGGTCTAAGTGAAAAAGGCTTAGCATAATTTGCCTTAGAGATCTGCCTTTCTCTACCTCATAGTCATAACAAGGCTATATCTTTAGTGTTTGTATGTGAAAATTTGGCACTCCATTGCTGTTTACTATGAAGTTCATTTCTGACCACTAAAGATGCAAGCTGAGTTGCTATTGGGAATGTGCTTGTATGTTTATAGAGTGTAGAACTAAATTTTAAATTGTTTTGGCTTTGCTCAAGCACGGTCATGCAAGGTACTTCATGGGTCATGGGAGAGCTTGCTTCCTCAATTTCTTTCAGACCACTGTAAGTACACAGTTCATTAATCTATGATAAAAGCAAGAATATTAAAAATACCAGCTGAGTTGAATCAAATACTAGTGATCAAAATGAGATAGGCATCAAGTTGATTTTTTTTTAACTGTTAAATGAGTATTCTTGTAATTAAAAAATAATACTAATTTAATTTCATAGTCTTCAAAAGTAGGTAGCCTGACAAAAAGAATTTGACTTGGTTGATGAAATGGCAGCGATACCTTGACTGACACCCCTTCCCCTTCCCCAAAACAGCCCAAAATTGTCAGAACACTGACAGAGAAGGGCAGGGGAATGTTCCATGACCCAGGCAGGCTTACACTTGTGCAGTTACTTCCGTGTTACACTTCATTTTCCAGCCTATTATTTATTAATGAGTGGAGTACAACTGTCCATCGCTGTCAGAATAACTTCATTAGAAAACTAATACCTTGGTTTTGGGAAAAAGTGGCACCATACCTGTTGGATTCAGCTTTTGGATTAATCATAAATTAAATTTCAGAATGAATTTGGTCTCAAGGTCTATCCTGATAGAAGCTGTATAATGACAATGGATGTGCTAGAAAATTAGAATCGAAGCAAACTCTAAAGCCACTGAGGTCTGCTTTAGAGGCCTTCTGTAGTTTGCTTTTCATTGTATTCGAACTGATTAATCCTGGAGGGCAGATGAATTCCTGAGCTCTAGAATTTAGCTGCATACCAGTGTAACTAATGCCAATCCTGGGTGTCATATTGCAAAAGTGATCAGCACTTCAGATTTTTTTCTTAACAGACTTTTCCCTGGAATTTAGATACTTTTCTCATGTGTGTTATCTTGGATAGTACCTTACTTCCAAGATGCTTCCTGTTGAGTGGCAAGCCATGGATCTGCAGTCTCCTTCTGTGGGAGGGATAAGCAGAAGCCAAAGCATGTCCAATTGCTCTCTAAACACTGTGGTGGAAGTGGGCTTTCTGAAGGGTAAGTTGACTGTAGCAGAGTGTAGTGACTCAGCCATAGTTTTAACCACTAACAATCATGTAGCAACATATTTTCAGACAAGAAAAAAGCTGGAGAGTAAATCAGATGAGTTCTCAAACCACATAGCAGAATGAAAGCGGTGGTTAGGATACAAGCTGTTTTATCACCCTAGCAATTTTTGCAGTGGTTGTGACTGTAATTTTAGTAAATCCAGCTCTAGTGTTTAGTTAAAAAAAAAAAAAAAAATTGGAGTTGGTTTGAGATTTTTGATTTGGCTTTTTGAGTTTTGGTTTTCAGCTTTCTTTAACTGACTGAGTTTTCATGTATTGTAAAAAGGCCAGGAATGAATGGGAAGGGTTGATTCCCATCTCTCTCTCAGGAGTACCTGTGTCTTTAAGAATATATTTTGCTGTTACGTTGGCCTGAAGTTGGCAGTTTATCTTGTGGTCTAAGCCTTAATCCAGCAGCAAGAGAGTTGGCACCTTTGAACTGGAGACATAAAAAGCAGCAAAGTTGTTCTCTTATAATCCCACAGCATACTTTTTACAAGTCTTCTCTCTAATTGTGGTGAGTGTGATGACTACCCTCCCTTCAAGGTACTCTTAAAGGGAGCACATCTTTTTATTTCTGGCTGACAAATGACAGTGGTGGTCTAGCAGGAGCAAAGCTGATGGAACTCTGCTGTCCCCACCAGCAGTGGCTCCTGGATGCCTGTAAGATCATTTCTGAAACCACGATAGTCGAAATGCTTGAGAGAGGCAAGATCTGTGGGAAGAAGTAATAGTTTTTATCAGATTGATATTCCTGGAAAAACATGGTCTTTCAGGCAGTAAAGCCTGTCTCCAGGTCTGAAATTGGTTTCCTTTCTACACAGCTTCACCTGGGCTGAGAGATGACAGCATCTGTAAGCTACACAGCTTTTTTCCAACTTTATTTTTTTTTCTTCTAATCCAAGGCTATTACCCCTCCCTACAGTTGCTGACTTGACTGTTCAGATAGCGTTAAGACTTCAGCAGGTGGCAGAAGCTAAATTCGTCAAATTACTTGATTACAAACATGAGGTGGGTCAGAGTGATGCATACTGAAAGGAATGTGTTTCTGGTCACCTGAGTAAGTCCGGAGCTTATTTCTCCCTGCATGCTTTGCCTGTTACAATCACCCTGCAGGGAGATGGAAAATGATGAAATTTGTTACATGAGTGATGATTTGAGTGTCGTTCTCTTAAAGCTCTATAGTTTAATCAATATGTATCAGAACTATGACATACATGTTGCTATGATTTTTTTTAGCTTCTGCATGTGAACATCCAGTCAAAAATACTCAGCAAGTGTAAATGGTATCATTACCAGTGCCTGTTTTTCCTCAGGTTTGTTTCTGAACAACTAAATATGATGAAATGAACTTCTATTGCTGGTGTTTCTGACCTGGCTCTGCAGAACCTTGCAGTGGCAGCCTGGTCAGCCGCTCCTTGCTCTGATATGTAACCTTTCAGAGGTGAGAAGGAGGTTTCCTGGAAGGTATTAGTTTTCTGGGCTCTTGTTTGTGCCTGTTAAAAAGCCTCTCACTAATTATGGAATGAGTCATGCAATCCTATTGAATTACAGTATATGCACCTGTAAGATGTTCTGCCAAATAAAACAGATTCTCTCAAGGATATCTGAATGTATCAATATCAAAGCCTGCTTTGTTTGTGATAGAGTGAAAAGTTTTACTCCATGTGCATTATGTTAAGTGCACTCACAGGTTGTTGCCTGATCAACCACACCCTGGTGTGATGAATGTAAATGCCAGTCTCGGCACCTCCTTTGCCATCTGAGGTCGATAAGGGCAATGAGGCTCAACTGTTCTGGATGTTCTTTCTTCCCTGCACATGGCCAGAAAAGCCAGGAAAGTGCTGTGGGCTGGGGTGAGTGCAGCCTCTGCATTTGCCTCAGGGGGGATGGAGCCTGGGGAAGGGTTGCATTGTAGATTAGTAGTACTGCTGAGGTGTTTTTCTCCAGTGTAGCAAGTTAAAAATCTCCTGGGAGCTGCACTAAGCACTTAATGTCTGCTGGGTTCCTGGAAGGGTGTTCTCTTTTGACTTGAAGAAAACCTGAGGGCCAGTTGAGAAAACTATTCAAGGTTAGCACTAATATGAAAGGATTATGGTGAAATTTAAACTTTTAGGTGAGCCAGCTGCAATGCAGAACAGGTGACGTATCTAAAAGGTTGCGTGTATCTAAAAGGTTGTTTAATCAGCTGCTTCCAAGGAGCTGGGGCTTGGGTGGAAATCCCAGGTTTCTTTCTCCTTTACAGAGCACACCCTCCCGCCCCCCCTCCCCCAAAAAAATAAAATAAAATAAAATAAAAAATACAGGGTTGTGTGGTACAAAAGCTTACAGCACAGGGAAACAGCCTGTTTACAGGTTCTGGAGACTGTGGGCTGCGTTTCTAACACAGCTTTCTTCCCCTTTTAGGGAAGGCAGTAAATATGGAAAGAGAAGCAAGTCATTTTTCTCCAGAGCTACTGAGGATTGCCATTGAGTTCCTGCAAGGCGGAGTGAAGGTAAGTAAAAAATGTGTTGAATTGATTTGCTTCAGGTGCCTGGTTCTTTTTTTGTTTTTGTTTTTTTTTTAAATGGCTATCTTGAGTGTTATATAAATGTGTTTTGGATTTAGTGTTAACTGGGCCCATTTGTGATCCTCCTCTTGTGGATTTTTCTCAGAATATTAGCAATACGTGAAGTCTCCTAAGGGAACTGTTTTCATCACTGTTGCCTGTACTTCAGACAAAGTTTTTTGTTTTTTTTTTTTTAACTTGTCTTGCAACTTTCTCGGATGAATTATACTGGCTTCTGGCTTATGTTTACTTAGACCCTTTTATGTTTGGTTCAGGATATAAAGGACTCTGAAACCATGTGCTTTTTGGTTAAGGTGTGTCCACCTAACATAACTGATCACAAATAGAAAATTCAGGACATTCCTTTGCTTCAGTGTTGTGGGGGAAAAAGTAGTGGAGTGACAGACAAAAAAAAAAAAAAAAAAAAAAGCAAAAAACAAAATGTCTTCTTTTCTATGGAGTATGCTGATAGTTTTTCAAAAATAAGGGCATTTCTGAAGTCTTTTGTGCAATTAAGAGAGATAAGCTCTGAAAAGTAAGGTTTCTAATTGAACTTTCATTGTTTAACTGCACAAGTATAACATGGTATTTCATAAAACCAGTATTTTTATTTGGTGTAGTTAAAGTGAATTACTGATGTTACAGCTGTTTTTACTGTTGAGTCATCTCACAACTATATCAGATTTTTGGTGATTTCTATATCGTATCTCAAGGAAGTGTTACTTTGTGAGCTAAAAGCCATATGAGCTAAAAGCTGTAGTTACTTACACCGTTAATAATTCCTAAAGGTGACTTAATTGTTCTTATCTAGATTAACATATGGCTGGGCATATCTATGTGCTTCCATTATGTTTCTCACAGTACATGTTAATGAGAAAAAAAAACTTCCTTACTCAAAAGAAATTTTACAGGAATTTATTTTTTTTTCTGTTGTGTCAAGCATTTTATTACTTTGTTGATAGCTCAGGGCTTATACAAGAATTTTATCTTTTGTAAACTTATACAGGTTCTTACGGTTTGCCTGCTAGTCTTTTTAATTTTATGAAACTTAAGTGGTGATATTAAAGAGAAATACTTACTGTAATTTTTGAATAGTAATTTTTAAGCTTGGAATTAAGCTAATTAGGCACGATTCCTGTTTCTGTGCTGAGCTGCACGGTAACTTTATGGCTATGCTTCTTCACCTGAAGCAACGAGGGCTAGGACAGAGGAGGATTGGGTTTCTTTTGTACTGATCCCTTTCACTTTCCCCTAGATGTCACTACTGAAACTATTTCAGAGGGACAGTGATACCCACAGCAGTAGCTAGGGCAGGCCTTTTTCCTGTCTGTTTCCCAGTCTTCTCTGGGTTGCTATTGAGCAGAAAGCCAAAATCTTCCATGATAATTGTGCATTGTGTTAAATACGAAGGAAGCCTTGACATCTCTGATGCCTGAGGCATGGGTTTCATTAAATGTATCTTCACAGTGTGCCTAGCTTCTAATTCTTAATACTGGTAATTAAGTCATCCAGATTTTTAATGAGAGCCTTGAACTTAACTGCCCTGGATCTTGATCCTGAAGTGTTTCTTTTTTAAAAGAACAGAAATCTGCTACGTCCTTTTTATCTAGCATTCCCCTCATCAATAAAGCAAGCAACTAAAGAGGCTATAGTATAAAATGTGGTGATATTATGTTGAGGCTATAAAATAGGCAGTAAGGTAATGTGCGGAAATACATGTTAGGAATTTGGATAGCAAAGCATGCAGAGAAGGTGTGTCGAATCTCTGACGAATAGTTTTTCTTCATTCTTGGTGATTATCTAGTGCTGTTTTCGTCCTAAATCGTACAGTGGCCTTTGATCCCAAAGTCTAAATTACAAAATATAAAATGTAAGGAAGAAGTTGCTGTCAAACAGTTGTTCATCAGAAAACAAGGTTATTCTATAAATCTTGGGCTGAATACTTCTTTCTACTTGTATGAGATGAACATCACCTGTGTCCATGAGGTGCAGAATCATCCACCTGGAAATAATTTTTCAGAAGCAGCTGCTGAGCAGGCAGCCAGATATTGTAATTGATTTGACCTAAGCAGAGAATTTCTGCACAGGCCAAAAGAAGGCTTTCTCCATAGTCATTCCCTTAATTTAAGAAAAGAGAGAGGAAGCCAGCTCATTTAGCATAGATATATATGTATATATGTGTGTGTGTGTGTGTGTGTGTGTGTGTGTGTATACATAACACAGTTCAAGAGAAAAGAATAAGTACCCTATTGAACCAGAAAAGTAACAGCATGGTGCACAAATCTGTGGGGAGCTGGGAAGAGATTGCTTTCTGCAATATTCTGGGAGACACCTTAACAGAAACTGGCTTGAGCTAAGGAATGGGTTAATAAGTGCTGTTTATATTGCTTGTTCCCATGCATAAACGTTCAGAAGTTTAGGGGCTTAGTTAACTGTTTGCCATTTCTGAACAGCATCAAGTAGAAACTAAATACTTCTTTATATTTATTTTCCAACAGTGTAGACCTTACTGGAAAACATCTTTCCTGTCGAAAGTGACTTTTTAAAGATGGGTGAAAAATGTCAGAATTTTGTGGTTTTCTTTTTAGGGTTCTGGGAACTGAAATTCAGCCTAAAGCTAAAAATGACACACCCAAATATGAAGTTCAGATAAAATCAGGCATTCTAAAAATACTTGAAGTTGTTCTAGCTTCTTTTAAGTGAAGCGTGGTTAGTTATAAGAAATTCTTGTTTGGTAAACTGATTCCTGACTTTAGTCATGTCTGTTACAAGAATTGGTCAAAGCATCATTGAATTCTGAAGAAAAATGCAGTAAACTTTTCCATACTGTGTTTTAAAAGAACTATCTGTGAATTATACTGATCTTATGGGGAAAAAAAAAAATCAAACTTCGAAGTTGATAAAGGCTGTAGTTATTAAAGTTGCATGCTTTAAAATCCAAGATTAGTTATTTTTCATCCTGTCGGTGGGAATTAGCACTCATGATGGTGGGGAGGGAGGTGGGGGGAATTGCTCTTGTATTCAGCAAGAAAAGCCACAGAGAAATCCAATGACAAAAAAGTGAAGTTATGTAAGTTCGGGTTAGAAATGAGGCAGTTTCTTATCGTCAAGCATAATTATGACTGGAGCAGTGACTTACCTAGACGTGTGGCTGTTTCTTCACCACTTTGAATACTCTAAGTATGAATGAATATCCTTATAAAAGAAGCTACGGCTCAAACACAAAACATGGTCTTCAGGCACAGATTGTCAGCTATTTATCTTAGGAGAGTATTCCTATAGAACTTGATGAATTTTGTGTATATGCTTTATGGATCAGGTAAATAAAACAGTGTATAAAACAATGTATATGTGCATTTGATGTAGCACACAGAGAAACATGGTCCTGTGGATTTCATAAACTCCTCTTTTAGTTGCTTCCAATTCTCTGGGACAGTAATGGTAGGAAGATATCTCCAATATTGCCAGCATTGTTTTCTGGATTCCCCTGAACTACTTAGTGAAATTGTAGTGAGGCTGCTGCCATGCTAAAATACTGTGGGATAATGAAATCTGAAGGGGAGCTTATGATATCAGTAAAACCAGATGGTATACGCAGGCAAATGTAATGAATTAACTGACATAAGTTAAAATTGATTGTTAGTATAATTTCCTCAATTTGCAGATACTTTAATAATGGATAATGCATAAAAACCCTTACCAAAATCGATTGGACAGTTCATACTGTGTAGTAACTTGAGACTTGTTTCTTTCTAAATAATTAAAAGACCAGACCTTTAATAAGCCTCTGCTTGATGTGTTTAACAGCCTACCTCATCAGACTCTCAACACTCATACAAAAAAAAAAAGTCAGAACTGGAATTACTAGTAATGATGCTTCTAAAATTGGAGCTCAGTTGTATTTCTACTCTGTTGTACTAGGAGTATGAGAAATGCTACCTGTTTGTCCATGACTGAGCAACCGATTTCACCAACTAGAAATAGAGGTTACTTTGGTAAAAGAGTTGGCCTTGAGAATGATTTTTTTTCTTTAAAATAAGAATCTCAGAGGACATCATGTTCTCTTTAAGGTCAAACTGACATGAGCAAAAAAAATCTAGTTGAGTTACAGAAAAATCTATTGTACTCTCTGTACAGATTCCTTAAAAGAGATGCCGAGTTTGACATCATGGAATTCAAAACAAAATCTGACTCTTGTTAACGTAATTATAATATGTTATTTGTGTCAGCTAAGTACATAATGCCCCTAAAAGATATTATCATGGGATCTGTTGAGGTTGAGCTGTCTCTATAACAAAGTCTGAGAACATACTTTGATATTCATTAGATCCCTCTGAAAACTGTTAAATACTACAAGTCTGATACATTTTGGCTGTTGACATCCACTTAAAATAGGTATATATTTCTCTAAAATTATTATAGTCTGAACAGCAGAAGTAATTTTAATTTATGACTAGCTTATTTGGTAGCTCCCTCTCTGTTAGCTAAACATGTTGTGGGCACACAGGTCATGGAACAGTCTTGTTCTAGATGTTTCCTTAAAGGGAAACTTCCCAAGAAAGCTGCTGGGGCCCCAGCTGTCTCTGCTCACAGGTTGAACACTGGGCTCCAGCAGAGTTTAGCCCTCTTGTCTGTGGTGCCTGAGAAATGGGATGCAGTGCTGGTTGGTTGGGAAGGCAGGATGGAATTACCTGCATGCCTGTGAGCCCCTGCAACACATCATGCAAGTAGTAGGGACAGTTCTCTGCTCATGGCTGGGCACAAACATTTTTCGGAGATGGGCAGAGCTTGCTTTGTGGCTCAACAACTGTTTTGGGTGCTGGACGCGTGCACGGCCTGGGCGAGTCCCTGTTCCTGCATTGTGCCCAAGGCAGCATTTCTGGTCAATGCGGTGAAGCTTGCAGAAACTCGGGAAGGGCAGTGCTAGGAACACCACAGTTGGGATG